TAAATGTGTGTTTTTTTCTAATTTTTCAGACACCAGTAATATTTAAAATGTTTGATATAGCATATACTCTGGGGAAGAAAACATTACTGTTACTAGTATTAAATAATACATTACTTCATTATTATCATTATTATTACTTGTTGACCCAGAGTAGTGAACTAGCTCTCTGACTTGAGACTTGTATTCTGTGAAATCAAGATTAGAATTAGTCAGCTTTGAAAATCCTTTCCAATTCCAACCTTTAGAGATTCTGAGCTTTACTTTGTAGACCAAGTAATATCTAACACTGATTCCAGATTATCTACTTTATTCTTATCATGTAAAATATATAAAAGCTGAGGTGAAGTTATTCTTGTAATATTACAAAGAAGAAGTTGTTTGCCATCTGTCAGGGAGAAGAGAGTATTAGAGTTTCAAACTCTACCAGCTTAGAAACTAAATGTATTTAAAAAAACAAAGCAAAGCACTAAACAACACTTTAAGTACTTTTTTCTGTACTAAACAAATTATTGTATTCACCTCTTCTAAGATATGCATTTTGTACAGTTTATATGTTTGAAATCAGGATGAGTTTTATAGTTGATGGTTAGTTGCAATCATTGTCTACCAGCTGGCAGTTGTTAGGTAGCCACTATATTTTAAGCTGTGTGAACATGGCCATGGCTGTTCATATAGTCATGCTTCAATGAAGTTTTGTGTGCTGATTATACTCCATGTGTAGAATTTGTCATCTGACATTTCTTCAGATAGATGACAATAAGATTCTGTTGGGGGGGAAAGTTACTGTCTGAAAAGAAAGGCAAGGAGATCACGGCAAGAATTAAAATTCATATGATGAAGCAAATACTTATTGTTGGAACAAGTCTGTATTTTCTTGCTAGTCAACAGCTGACTGATTTATATAACTTTGCTTCTTATCATGTCTATCAGGGATCAGCAGAGGGGACATCACCAGAGATCTTATTAGAAATACAGAATCTTGGGCCCATCCCAGACCTACTGAATCACAATCTGCATTTTCTCAAGATTCCCATTTAATTCCTTCTCACTTTAAAGATTGAAAACACTTTACAGTACCAAGGAAGATACACAAAAAACATGAAGCTGATTCATATTTTGTTACTGAGATAAGTGCTAATGATGTCTCTCATATGTTAAGCAATACAACCTAAAGCAAAGAGAAAGCCCTTAGAATAGATGACAGATGATTAATGACAGTGATGTTGAGTGTCTTTTCCTATGTCTATTGGCCATCTGTAGGTCTTCTTTCGGGTGGGAATGCAGACTGGTACAGCCACTGTAAAAAAACACTAAGGAGTTTCCTCCAAAAAGTAAAAATGGAACCACCTTTTAACTTAGTGATCCCACTACTGGGAATCTATCTAAAGAAACCAAAACACTAATTTGAAAGAATATATGCATCCCCATTGTTCATTGAAGCATTATTTACAATAGACAAGGTTTGGAAACAACCAAAGTGCCCATCAGTAGATGAATGGCTAAAAAAGCTGTGCTACATTTACACAATGGAATATTACTTGACCATAAAAGAGAAGGAAATCTTACCTTTTACGACATCATGAATGTACCTAGAGAACATTATGTTAAGTGAAATAAGCCAGTCAGAGAAAGACAAATACCATATGATCTTACTTATATGTGGAATCTAATGAGCAAAATAATTCAACAAACAAAATAGAAGCAGAAACATAGATAACTGTTGCTACTGATTCATAAGCAAGCATGACAATATTCATAGAAATCTATGTCCAGCCCGGCTGGTTTTGCTCAGTGGTTGAGCATCGACCTATGAACCAGGAGGTCACAGTTTGATTCCCGGTCAGAGCACATGTCCAGCTTGCAGGCTTAATCCCCAGTAGGGGGCATGCAGGAAGCAGCTGATCAATGATTCTCATCATTGATGTTTCTATCCCTCTCTCTTCCTCTCTC